TGGCCACCCCGCGTCCCCTGTTGAGTCGCGTACCCAAGGTCACATTCTCGCGCAGGGTCGCCGCCAAGTGGGCGTAGGCGTGGGCGTGGGCGGCGGTGGTGACGACGACGACGACACGACGACGCGACTACGACGACGGCGACGATGACGACGACGACGACGACGAGGACGAGGACGACGACGACGACGACGACGACGACGACGACGACGACGACGACGACGAGGGTCACATTCTCGCCCAGGGTCGCTCCTGCGTGCGTCCGCACCGGGTGGGGATCCCAGGGAGGCCGCGCCACGACATCGGCTGGGGGGGGGGCAGGCGGTGGGAGGCAGGGGGAAGTGACACCACCGCCGCCAGGGGCTGGCACGTCCAGCCGGGGAGGTCCACGGGCCCCCCCCTCCCCCGAGCTGGAGGGCTGGAGGCGCCTCGAGAGGGGCAGAGGACCACATCACCAGGAGTCGAGCAGTGGCGAAGCTTCCTGGCTTCCTTTATAAACCCATCAACGAATGTTCTAAGAACCTTGCGTGATCTGCACGAGATGTTCCTAGAACTTTTCTGGCTCAGGCTGTGTTGTTTTCACACGTCGGGCTTATGGTCTAAGAAACTGTGTTTGCTTTAGAACATTTCTGGGTTCTAAGAACACGTCATGGCAGGCCTATAGGAATGCCGGGACGGTCGGTCCCTGCTCAAGCAGAGGACCACACCACCGGGAGGACCCCTTCCCGGGCTCCTCGCGCTGGTGGAGGTTCTTAAGCTACAATCCGTGCTCCTACTTGCAGATCCACCAACACATGTTCTTCAGTGGGAGACCATGCCAAGGAGCAGCCTGCTTGCCTCCAGGGTGTCCTTGGCTTCTTGGGTGTCGATGGTTCTGCTATGGAGAGCGTGACGCTCCCACTCCAAAAAACAATGGACGTCCTGGGGTTTCAGGGTAGGGTTTCTTGTGGAAGGTTTCTAGTGGTCGGGCTCCTACTGTGCTGCCTGTCTGTCCGGGCTTACACAACATATTCATTAGGGAATCCATGGCCGAGCCAATATTGTTTCTATCCATCTGTCGTAAGAGCACCGCGTGTTTTCCCTACCTAGGCTCTGCCTAGAAGGGTTCTTTCTCTCTGGGCTTAAAGGGGCCGGGCAGTGGAAAGCGCCCCGGGCGGTTCCCCCAGTATCCGCCCCGCGGTTCCCCCAGTTACGTCATCTTAGCTTAGCGTTGCTTATCTCATAGCTTAGTTTAGCACAGCGAGCTCATCATGATATATCATATCATAGCATATCATAACATAACATAACATAACATAGCGCAGCATCTCATGGCATATCATAGCATAGCATGGCGCAGCATAGCATGGCATAGCATAGCATAGCATAACATAGCATGGCATAGCATAGCAACTAATGCTGCTTTCCTAGGGGCTCCGACTTCTAGGTAGGGTCGCACTGGGGTAATTTGTCTCTGCACTCTTCTGTTCAGGCATGTTTCGTTGTAGGCTTGTAAGAATGCCAGGACGGCTGGTCCCTGCGCAAAGGCTGGGGATGAAGCATCGAGCGCCTCGAACAAAAGTCCAGGCGGCCAGTTTGGCCTCCGTTGGTCGGTTTCCAGCGGGCCGGTGGCCACGCGTCAACAAAAAGGCGAAGCGCTGGATTCGACTACCCGCAAGAGTGACCTTTCGCCAATGGGGTTCCCCCGGTCGCCGAACGCGAGGCGGCAGTGGCGTCTTACGCGCTTCTGTTTGGTCCCCCCGCGGCCCCAAAAAATCCGCGCATCAAAGGTCACTCGTACCCAGGTTCACTCTTGCGTGCAGCCGTTGGATGTATGGGGGATCAACAATCGAGGCCTCCCAGATGGGGTCGGAGTAGATGGGCTCGGAGCATCGCGCCGCATCGCGGATGCATCGTCGATGTGGAGCCCGATTTTCTTCACGCCGGCGTCGCCGATGCACCGCCGACGTCGCCGACGCATCGCCGATGCATCGGCGATGTATCGCCGATGTATCGCAGATGCGGCGCGATCCGCCGACCCCATCTGCTCCGACCCCATCTAGGAGGCCTCTAATCAAGGTTTTCGGACGTTCTCAGCCTTCTGCGGGCCTCTGTGGACACCCTCGCCGCCACGGCCGGATCCGCCTCGGCATTCTGGTCACCGTGCGCCCCAGAGGAGGTCGAGCGGTCGTCTGCGGCGCCGTCGCCGTCGGAGGAGCGGGAGCAGAAGGCGGAGGAGCAGGGCGAGGAGACGGGAGGAGGAGGAATGAGGATAAAGGGGTCTAGTGGACCAAGGAGGAGAGGGCGAAGACGGTGATGACGGAGGAGGAGGAGGAGGAGGAGGAGGAGGAGGAGGAGGAGGAGGAGGAGGAGGAGAAGAAGGATTCCAGCGATTCCAACAAACAGCGGTTAACGAGTGCAAGCTCGGCCCTGGCACCAGACAGGTGCGGGGCTAGGAAGAGCCTGCCGTACTTGGGGGGTTAAACTGTCTGCTGGCCTGCCAGGGTTGCGCCTCCCAGTCGCAGATGGCTCAGGGGGCCGGGGCCAGCTTCTGTGCAATGCTGGCCGCGAAACTCCCAGATCCCCGGCAAAACAAAACAGCTTTAAATTCTAGACGCTTCGCGTATCCCCACCAGCCCGTCCAGAAACGACGCCCAGGCGAGTAGAGGGTCGTCCTGAGGGGCTTTTCGGCGTCTTGGGTGCCTCGGGGGGGCCTCTGTGGGCCGTTCGGGATCCTCTTTGGGGCCTCCTGGGGGCCTCTTGGGGCCTCTTGGGGCCATCTTGGGGCCTCTGGGAGCACCTTGGGTGCCTCTGGGGGGTCTCTTGGGGCCTCTTGGGGGTCTCTTGGGGGCCTCCTGGGGGCCTCTTGGGGGGCCTCTTGGGGCCATCTTGGGGCCATCCTGCGGCCTCTTGGGGCATCCTGGGGGCCTCTTGCGGCCATCGTGGAGGAAATCGATCAAAGAAGAGGGGTTCCTTAATTAGAGTCCCCCCCCCAGGAGCCACGATCCTCTTGAGGGGTGTCGAATTTTAGCCTTCCCAGGGGTCGATCTTGGGCGCTCCAGCGCGCCGCGGAACCCCCTGTGCAGGTCAGTGGGGAGGGGGTAGGGGGAGGGGTAAACCCCTCCCCGAAGGGGAAGAAGGAGGGGTGGAAGAGGAAACGCTCTAAACCACCGACGCCCAGAGGGCTGGTGGGATTCAGCCAGGATGCGAGTCGAACGCGCACGACCAAAACGCGCACGACCAGGGTCGGGCCCGCGGCCGACGAGGAGCCCAACCCGGCCGGCTCAGACGTCCCAAGCACGAGCGCTCCGGGGCACCGCCAGGGCCAGAAGCGAGTGAGCTCACCTCCGACACCGGGGATCACCGAGCGCGTTCCACGACTCGCAAAGTGCCTACTCGCAAACGCTCGAAAAGTACATGTCTGTTTCGATGTAATTCTCGTAGATCCCCCCAGCGGATCCAGGCCGTTTGCGAGTATTCACTTTGCGAGTAGTGGAACGTGCTCGTCTACACGCAGACAGCGCGCACACTTGAAAACACCACCAGCTTGGCTCGGCAAGTCTCTGCTCACGAACGGGCATCTAGCTGGGCCCCTTCTCTCTCTCTCTCTCTCTTTGTGGTGGTCTCTCCTGGAACGATGCTCGCGCGTCCTCGGGCAAGAAAGAAAAGCATGCCGAGAAGCAGCAAGGAGCCTCTTCATCCCGGAGAGGCAGTTCTATCTACATTATACCCCACCCGACAGGCTGGGGTCGTTAGATTTGAGAACGGATCTCCCGACCCGTCCACCATGCATACCGCGGCCGCCAGACCCCCAAGTCCCCCGAGAGTCCCCGAGAGCCTCGCCTCGCGCCACTCTGCACACCGCGGCCGCCAGATCTTCATAGGTCCCCCGGGATTTCCCCGAGCGCCTCGCCTGCAGGATCCTGCAGGGTCCCGCAGGGCCCGACTGGCCCGAACCTGGACCGACCTGGCCCTCGCAGCCCCCCGCCCCGCGAAGCGGAGCGACGCGCCACCCGCTTGCAGGGCACGTGCCGCGTCCCGGGCTGCTGCCGCAACGCGCTGGGCCACAGGCAGTCAGTGGCGAAGCGTCCTGGCGTGTCGATAGGCCTACGAGACAGTGTTCTGAGAACCTTTTGTGGTGTCCACGACACGTTCTTACTTAGAACCATTTCTGGCTGGGACCGTCTTGTTGTAACGCATCGGGCTTACGTTCTAAGAAGACTGTCTTTGCTCTCAGAACATTATTGGGGCTCTAGCCGGGACGGTCGGTCCCTGCTCAGCACAGTGCCGGACCGTGCCTGCATCACCCAGCAGCCTTCGGCCAGGGTCTTCGGCGGCCGGAGCGGCGGCCGCCCGCGGCCTCGAGCGGCGGGTGCGTAGTCGTCGTCGTCGTCGTCGTCGTCGTCGTCGTCGTCGTCGTCGTCGTCGTCGTCGTCGTCGTCGTAGTCGTAGTCGTAGTCGTAGTCGTCGTCTTAGTCGTCATCGTCGTCGTCGTCGTCGTAGTCGTAGTCGTAGTCGTAGTCGTAGTCGTAGTCGTCGTCTTAGTCGTCATCGTCGCCGTCGTAGTCGTCTCAGTCGTTGATGTCGTCGTCGTCTTCGTCGTCGTCATCGTCGTCGCCGCGAGGCAGCGACGGCAGTACCCCGCTGCAGCAGCGAGGCGCGGCCTGCGGTGCTCCCTGTTGTCTGCTGCGATCTCCAGCTGCCGGCGGCTCGGCCTGGTCTCCTGCAGCGTGTGGGCGACGATCAATGGAGAGGAAGCGTGTTGCCAAATAGTTCCCAGATGTCCAAAACATGGTTTGAACATGCCTCGAACATGTAAGAAAAGACATGTGTTGCACATGTTCGGAACAGTTTTAACACATGTTGAACACATGTATAGCTCAATGACAGGATTGTCCGTGCTAGGTTCTCGCGAGAGCGCCGCGGCCGTCATTTTACAGGCTTGCGGCCGCCGGGTCTGGGTCCGAGGTCGTTTCCACTAAACCACGGTTTACGAAATGGGGATCTGTCCATCCCCGAATGGAGAAGAAGCATGTTGCCAAATAGTTGCCGTCCTCGTCATCGTCGTCGTCGGCGGCGGCGGCGGCTGCGGCGGCGGCGGCGTCGCCCTGCGCGACGTCGGCAGCCTATCCCGCGGGGCCTGGCGCGAGGCGCCCTGGGCGGCCCGGCGCCGCTGCGGCGCAGCCCCCTGCCGCTGGCCGAGCTGCTCGCGGGCGGCGAGGAGAGCCTTCCTTGAAGTCGGGCCTGTCCCTCTACAGGAGGCGTTCCAAAAAGGGTCTTGCCTCCGAGGATCGAAGGAGTTGTCATCTCTTCCTCGGCGGAAGGGTTGCGGAAGGTCGGCGGAAGCAAAGCGAGGCCGCCTCCGCCGGCGGAAGCCGGCGGAAGTAAAAGATGCACCCCCAAGAGATGGCAACGTTTTTGGGTTCAGGGTTTCCGAGATCCGCCAAATGTTACGTCGGGCCTGTCCTTCTGCAGGAGGGATATGCAAAAGTAGTCAAAAAATTGTCTGGGGACGATCTTTGGACTATCTTCGAGCATTCTGGTGGTGTATTTTTTGAACATTTTTCAGTTTTCGCCCAGAATCCCCCTGAAGGGGGACAGGCCCGACCTAGGCCTTCCTGCGCGGCGTCGCGGCGCGCGGCTCTGGCCAGCTCGTGTCGTTCGAAGCAAAGTTAGAAAAATGCCATGAGCGTGAACTGTTGGCGCTCGGCGCGGATTTCTTGGATCTGCGCTGGGAGCCCTCTCGGCGGCGCCTCTGGCGCCGCCCCTGGCGCGCTCCGCGCGCCAGGGAGGGGGCTCCAGCGCAGGTCCAAGAATTCCGCGCGGAGCGCCAACAGCCGGCGGCCCCCCAGCGCGGACGATCCAGGTCGACATGCCCCACAGTCCGAGGAGGAAGAGATGCCCTTCGGTAGCAAATCATGGGAGCCGGGTATACCCCCTCTGAATTCCATCTTTAGTGTCGGTCAGCGTCGATTAGCGTCTCGGAGTCGGTGAGTCGGCTAGCGTCGATTAGCTCCGATTTAGCGTCGATTAGCGTCGATCTAGCGTCGATTAGCGTCGATTCGCCAGAGCCGACAAGATGGCATGGGAGGCTCTCATAAGTTGCCACCGAAGGTACCCATACCGCTGCCCTCCACCCGTTTCCCCTTTTTGGGCCTCCTGGGAGGCCCTCGTCGCCACCGCTGGATTCCCCGCGAAATTCTAGCCAGAACGCACCCCGGGAGAGGTCCAGGGAGTAGCGATATCGGTCCCTTTTGGTTTCCCCACACAGGGTTGACTCTGATCCTCACCACCCGCCAGACCACCCCAACCCAAGACGAAGGCCCCGATGTGTCCCCTATTCCCAGTGGTGGGGGACGTCGGGGAGCATCGGCAAAAAAAACACAGGTGGGACCCGTACCCCCCTTCCACCCGACATGTTGGTCTTCGGGGGTCGGATATTAGAGTGGTCGATCCGATCCGACCGGATCGGATTGACCACTCTAAGCCGATCCGATCGATCGATCGGATTCGATCGATCGGATTCGATGCCGATCGGATTCGATCCGATCGATGCCGAGGTAGCCTGAGCCGCTCGATCGGATTCGATGCCGACCTCGGCCCGCCCAGGTTCGACGGCGCGCAGGTTGCCCGCGCAAGCTCGCGCGTGAGCGCCCGCGTCTCCAATGTTTCGGGGGAGCGCAAGACCCGGGTTTGCCAGGACTCGGGTTCGCCATCGTTTTTTGACGACCGCGCCTCGGATTTTGACGAGGAGGAGTTTCGTGGGATGTCTGCAGCGGGAGGCCTCGTCAAAATGCAGGCTCGGCCTCGTCATTTTTTTGACGACCTCGTCGGGGATTTCCGAGTCCCCCGTACCCGGGTCTTACGTCTCCCCGAATGTTGCGTGCCGCGCTGGCGCCCCGCGCAGGCCGCCGCGTAAGGTCGCTGTGGCATCTCGCGCAAGGCTCGTGTCTTTTCGTCGCCCACACGGGAGCCGAAGTGGGGCGGACGGAACGGGGACAGACCTAATTACAGGGTTCGCGCAGGTTCTCCACACGGCGAAGCTGGCGATCCGCGGAGGCGTTCGAGCGATTCCGTGAGCTCCTGGAGAGGTTCTACAGCATCGGGGTGCTCTCCAGCAGCTGCGCCTCGCCGAGGGCACACCAGGGGTGTCCTGGTCTTCCCGAGCGGCAGCGCGAGAGCTGTGTTGTGACCCGAAGACCAGTCGGCAATGACAGGAGGGCGTAGGCTCAGGAGAGACTGCATCGAACCCCATCCGCGTTTTTCTAGGCGATCCTCCGACGCCATCTGCTCGGACCCCATCTAGGAGGCCTCTCGCTGTCCAGCGCACCCCGCCCAGGAGCCTGCGGTGTCGTCATCGAGGGCCGATCGCCGATCCGTCGGGCGATGCATCGCCGATGCCAGGCCGTCGTTCCCATCGCGCGAGCCAGTCTCTCCCTGGATGCATGTCGGGCGTGTCCTTCGACAGGAGGGATGCTCAAGAATCGTTACCAGGTAGTCAGGAGGCGATCTTCGACCAATTCTTGACGATTTGGGTTTTTTGTTTTCAAGGCTATCTTCAAATTTCTTCGAAGAGCCGCCTGTAGGGGGACATGCCCGATCTACACCGAAGTGGCGTTTTACTATCAAGACTCCGGCAGGTTTATTCTGCACGGCACTGCGCGCGCCTTTTTATTCGTGCGCCTTTTGCCTCTGGCTCTTGCGCTCCCCCCCCCATCCTCCGCCGCCTTTCAAGCAGCGCCGGGCCGACTTAGCGTGCAAGTGAATCCCTAAGTGCGAGGAGTTCAGGTTTCCTGTCGGGGATCGCCACGACCCCCCCTCCAGGCAGGTAAAAACCTGCCGGAGTCTAAAGAAAGCGGCATTCTCTCCTTCCCCCCGTCCAGAGGGCTGGCGGGACCTCTTCTACTTCTTTCTCTCTCTCGTCCTCTTAGCCAGACTGCCAGCGCGTCGAATACAAGCAAGACGCGTTCGTTCGCCTTGTTCGGCCCTTGGGACAATGTTTTCACCCCTGAGCCAGCCTGCGGCATGTTCGTGTTGTGTCGACGCGGAGGCGGCCTTAGCGCGGGGCGTTCAAGGTTGAGCGCCGCCAGTGTGGCCGCGACTCCTCCGATAGTGAACGATCTGCGCTATCGGAAAGCGCCGATCGTTTGAGCCTGAACGATCCGCGCGGTGTCAGAGACTGATGCCGGCGTCGTCACGATACGACCTGCCTATCTTACGCTGCATCTGCCTGTCATGCCTGGGACCTTGCCTGGGGCTCGCCTGTCCCGTGAGTGGCGGCTTTTTGCTTGCATCAGGCGTGGGCTCGAGGCGGAGTCGACGCTCATTCGGCGAGCATTCGATGGTGAGTCGACGAGGATTCGACGCGGATTCGACATGTATTCGACGTGGATTCGATGTGGATCAACGATGTTGCAATAAACCTGCCTTTCCCTCTTCGCAGCTCCCTACTAGGGTTAATTTTCATTGGAGGAACTGCCCCGTTCCAAGGCAACCGTCTGAAAATCCTGAACCATGCCAGAACACCATCCCTGGGACTTCAACGCTGCACATCAATATGACTGCTGCGTCCTGACGATCCTGAATCACGCCGGGACATCATCACTGGGCTTTCAACCTTGCGAATCAACGTAACTGCTGCGCCCTGACGGCTCTACACCGTGTCAGAACACCATTTCTGGGATGTGAGCCATAAGAATTCTGGAAACTCTTGTAAGCTCTGAAGCCGAATATGCGCGGCGACGAGGCGAATGCCACATTCCTATAAGGTACTGCCCTCCATCAGTGACGCACGTGCGAACTGTTGAGACGAACGTGCGCGGCGCGAAGGCGAGAGCCACATGTTCATAACCGCCCGCCCTCCATGTGTGAAGCTTCCGCACACTTTTTAAGACACATGTGCGCAGCGCTACATTTTGAAAACCACCCGCCCTCCATCCGCGAAGCCAACGTTAAGACGAGTGCGCGGAGCGCGAAGGCGAGAGCCACGTGTTGAAAGCCACCCGGCCGCCAATTGTAAACATGTTGCACATTTGACCTGAAGGATCATACAGGAAGTCTCTGGCGAAACGCCTGACCCGCCCTACCGACACGTTTCGCGGGGCGACAGGGGGGAGTTAAGCGCAAGGACAAGGGATGGACGAGGAGGAGGAGATGGGAAGGAGGAGGAGGAGGAGGAGTTGGAGTTGGAGGAGTTGGAGGAGGAGGAGGAGGAGGAGGAGGAGTTGGAGGAGGAGGAAGAGTTGGAGGAGGAGGAGGAGGAGTTGGAGGAGGTGGAGGTGGAGGAGGAGGAGGAGGAGTTGGAGGAGTTGGAGGAGGAGGAGGAGGAGGAGGATGACGAGGAGGAGTTGGAGGAGTTGGAGGGGTCAGGCGCGCCCAGACGAGGCGCGCCCAGGCGCGCCGCGAGGCGCCGCCGCAGCGCCTTCCCCTCTGGCCCGCTTCCGCCCCGCACCCTCCCTGCAACGTGGACCCAACAGCAAGTCGGGCCTGTCCCTGCAATGCGGACCCATCGGCGATGCATCGCCGACTCGGGCTCGACGTTTCTGCTTCTCCCCCCCTGAGCGGGATCCCCCCCGACCGTCACCCCTCACTGGCCTCGGCGCCCCTCGGCGCTCCCGTCCAGGGGGCACCCGAGGGGCCAGATGCCTGGGGCCCGAGGCTCGCAGAGGGGGGGGCATAGCCTTACGTCGGGCCTGCCCCTCTACAGGAGGAATATTCAAAAATGGCCAAAAAAACATTATGGGGGCGATTTGTTCAATTTTTTGATCATGTTTGAGCATTCGGAGATTGATAGACCTCCTACCCCGACACGTCGATTAAGGAATTGGCCGTTTTCGGTTCCCGAGAGGGCGTCGCGGCCGTCAGTCTTGCGGGTCCAGCTCCGTCGGTTTCGGTCCCGGGCCGTTTTCACTGAGGGGAGGTTTACTGAAGGGAGGTTTGTCACCGCCGAAATATGTCTGGACTCTTTTTTATACCTTTCGTCCAAAACCCGCCTGTAGGGGGACAGGCCCGACCTAGACCCAACATCGGCAGCGCACGTGCGCACGGCCGTGCATCCCAGGCGTCGGCCCTGTTGGGCCCGAGGCGAGCGCGGGGGGCACGGGGTTCAGGGGCCTCCTCCTGGGCCCCCCAGATCTGGCCAGGATCGCGGCGTGCCCCAGGAGCGCCGGCCCCAGACGTGGCAGTCTGAATTCAGGTCGGCGCCCACGTGCGTGCGAATGATGGC